GGACCAGCTTCCGGCAGCACTACCATCTCCGCGTGCATATAGCCTACTCAACTTACGACCAAATCGTGTTACGACCGGTCTGTTGGAACCAATCGTGGTCGTAAGTCGAGCACTAGCTGTACTAAAAATTTCAACACACCTTTGATTACCAAAGTCCATGCACCCATGGGACTTTAGAAACCAATGGTGATTTCTGCTGCCTGGTGGCTTATTTTCATTTCAAAGCGTGCCAGGGACACAGGGTATTTCAGCATCCAAATTCATATTAAAGAATATAGCAATGAAACTCTTCAGAACTTCAGGGGGCTGTTTTGTCTCAAAGTTAGTATACTGCATAAGGAAAGAATGGTTTGTTTCGAGACGGAGTTTCGCTCTGTTGCCCAGGCTGGAGTGCAGTAGCATGATCTTGGCTCACTGCAACCTCCACCTCCCAGGTTCAAGCCATTCTCCTGTTTCAGCCTCCCAAGTAGCTGGGATTACAAGTGACCATCACAATTTTTTGTATTTTCAGTAGAGATGGGATTTCACTGTGTTGCCCAGGCTGGTCTCTACCTCCTGAGCTCAGGCAATCCACCCACCTCAGCCTCCCAAAGTGCTGGGATTACAGGAGTGAGCCACTGTGCCTGGCCAAGAACACATTTTTAAAACTGGATATAACTAAATGTTTCAACAAAACCAAGGCAAATTATCTTCATGTCCTGATTTCTAATAAAAGAGATAGAGAGGTATGCAGAAACACTTCATTTAAGCATCTACAATTAGTATAATTGCTTGGATAAAATTTGGTCCACGGTTCCCTTAGATTTTTGTAGTATTTGCTCCCTGTGCTACTCATTTGCCATGTATGTTACCCGACTAGATTGTAAGTTTTTCAGTGTCTTGAGGAGCTCCTTGTAATGGGGCCTCACCTAGCCGACAGGTGCTTAACTGATGGCAAAGATATGACAGAAATCTTTTCACAACCTAGTGCTAAACACGTATCAACAATATCCCTTTTCCTTCAAATCAGGAATCCACAAGCCTTGAGCATTTCAAACACCTGCACAGTAACCACCTTGCTCAAGTGAATATGGTTTCCAGCTATAAAGCAAGACACATGAATGGAAACATAATTTGGGGGGAAATGACCTATTGGTAAAACACATAGAAATGGCAAGTTGATTTAAGTTACTGTCATTAACAATCGCTAAAAGAAACATTAGCCCTTAAAAAAACCAAGTTATTGAAGATGGGTTGTAAAATTTAAAAATAAATACACAATGTTCGTATTCCTGGTTGAGAGAGACAATGTGCTTCATCTTACTTCTTTTTCAAGAAAAAAAGGATTAATTCAGCCCAAGTCCAACAGCAGTAATGTGGAAGTTGTATTTGATTTAAAAATTATATTAAGATTTAAAAGACAAAATTAAAGCCAGAAGCATCCAGGAAGTTGATGGAAACTAATGCATCCAAAAGCCAATTTAATGGAAAAGTATAGTTTATAGTAAATTTAAATATAAATAACTTGGACCCTGATACAGTTTGGCCGTGTCACCACCCAAATGTCTTGAATTGTAGCTCCCATAATTCCCACGGGTTATGGGAGGGACTCGGTGGGAGATAACTGAATGGGGCTGGTGGGGGGTTCCCCCATACTGTTCTTGTGGTAGTAAGTCTCACGAGATCTGATGGTTTTATAAGAGGTTTCCCCTTTGGCTCGGCTCTCATTCTCTCTTGCCTGCCACCAAGTAAGGTGTGTAGCTCATCTTCTCATTCTCTCTCACCTTCCACCATGATTTTGAGGCCTCTCCAGCCACATGGAACTGGGAGTCCCTTAAACCTCTTTTTCTTTATAAATTACCCAGTCTCGGGTATGTCTTTATCAGCAGTATGAAAACGGACTAATACAGAAGAACCTATACCATAAGACGGCAGGGATGCCTGGCACGCAGGACACACAATGCATGTCTGCTGAATTAACAAATAGGTGAATATATTCAGATTCGTTATGCTACCTTTTTTTTTTAATTATTAAGCCAAGCTGCTAACCCTTACAAATTTTTCTGTAAATATCTTCTAAAGAGCAGAAAGACGACTGGCAGTAGAAACCACTTATAATTTTACAACTATAATCCCTACTGTATGCATCATGAAAATGGTAACACTTGGAAGACTCCAGTGAATCCTATGGAATTTATTCCTTGTAATTTAAAATTACAGACCACATAGAGTATCTTAACAACATATGGCCAAGTTTGAGTGATCATCTGAGGAGAATAAGTCAGTTTCATTAAAAATGCAAATTTAACAGTAGTGCATTAATTCATGCCAACCCCCAGTCTCAAGACCATCACCAGGGACCTCTCATATGAAATCAATATGCATCCATCTATTTAACTTTTATCACTGGCTCACAAAGCAAATATCACGCTATAGACCACGTAAGTATTCATCATGCAGGCAAATAGCAAGTGTCAAAAGCAGGAGGGTAGTGTCAAGTCGTTAACAAATCAATCTATAACTGTTCCCTGTTCGAGTCTACAAAATGAGGGCAAGTGCAACACCTGGAGAGCAAACTGAGGACCTGCCGCCAAGGTGCAATCAGTTTATGGCGCAGCAGACCCTAAGAACACCACTCAAGGAAACTTTAGTTCCATCATGCCTTTTCAGGCTTTAGCATGCATTAAAGCAGATCAGCCCTTTGATACTATCCCTTAGACACCAAAAGTCTTGAGATCCCCAAGGAACGCACAGGGAGATGCCAGGTTTTTTGCTCCCCACAGTGTCTAAGACTGAGGCAGAACTGGAAAATATATGAGTGCATGACATGATAAGGAGCAAATGGTTCAATCTTCAAAGCTTCATTTTAAGATTATTAAAGCAAGATTTTCAGCATTTTATGGGGGCCACATGTATTTATAGACAGCTAATCCTGTCCCCACAAGAAGCCAAGAATGGCTCCGGTTTTTGCAAAGAATTCACATTTTTTTTCAAGTGTGAGCCCCATTTAATATCACACTTATGTGCCAAGTGACTGAGAATATCATCTTTCGCACATTAATTTCAGGATGATTGCTACTCCTGTCTGTCTCAGGTTACAGAAAGCCAATACATGGTATTATATCTGAAGTAACTTACCTATCTTGTCAGCTAAAAGACAGTGAAAGTGAAATGAAGAAAAGGAAGTTCAGTCACTGGAATAAGCCTCATGACTGGTTCCTCAATTTATATGTGATAAAAACCAGAATGAAGCAACAGAGTGCAAAAAGTGTTGTCCATCTTTTTCTCCCATCATTCCAAAAACCAACAGCAAGAAACTTGACTCAGCCATATAAATGAAGCTATTGATTATAAATAGCAATTAATTATAAATAAGGCAAAAAATAAAAGCTATTAGTTATGAGGATTGAAGGCAATCTCAGGTAATGGCAGATCAAATATTCACCACTGGCAAGAAGAAAATAAGACCCTCTCTCACTCCTTACTCACATCTGTGACTTATCTATGGTAATAACATGACTATTTGCTGTCAAACACAGAAGTTAACATTGGCGTGCGCACTCACATCCCTGCTGGAAGCAAATCGTGCTGGGTTTTAAACGAAACTGCACTGTATTTACTTACCCTTCTGTCTTATTTCCTGAGTAGAAGGTTTTATTAATACTTCACCCAGAAATGATCCACACAAGAAATAGCTTCATTGGGGGTAAAAGTCATAACAGTAGTTTTCTTATTGCATTTTCTTTCTCTTCAATGGAAATCTCACCCTCCTCCTTTCTGGCCCAGTGATAAATGTAGAGTCAATAAAATAAACCACAAAGAACAAGACAAAAGCTGGAAAACATCCTTTCATTACCTCTTCTTCCTTATCTAAGATGCTCACCGTGCTCTGTAATTCAAGAGCACAAATTAAAGCAGGCCCTCGTCACCTGAGCAAACTGGACTGTAATGTCACACCCACCACATTCTTCTTTTTATCATAACAGCTAGGATGCTAGAAACAAGTTGCAACATGTGCGGTCTGCCCTGCCCCCAGCACCCCAGCAGGAACTGCACCCCACTTCCCACAGCCCATGTTCTTCCCCAGACCTTACCCTGCCCAAGAGGTTGTCCTGAAGTAACGTCTGCTGCAGCACTGGGGCCACTTCCTCCAAGCTCAACATGTGGCAAAGGTCGGTGAGCTCTTCCTGCCCCAGGGACCCTGTGCCCGTCGTGTCAAAACTGTCAAACAGCTCCTTGAGTCGGGCCTCATGCTGGTCCTGCTCCACCTCATCCATCCCATAGCCCACAGCGCTCACCTGTGTAGGACAGAGACAAGGACAGGTTGTGGCAGCCTCTCCAGTCCTACTGTGGTTGTCCTTGGCACATTCCCCTTCTCTGCACCCCACCAGTGAATGCTCTGGAACACCCAGTTTCTGGTGCACCCCACAGCGAGACTTCCCGGTCTCTGCAGGACCAGCCCTGGCCGGTGATGCTCCCGCATGCACTCACACCAGGAGCACATACACAAGCTCGGATCATGCTGGGAGCAACATTACCAGAATAAGGGGGTCATGTAGGGTAGAAGACACCCTCCTCTCTTGCCTGGTCCTGAGGGGGACAGCCAGACTGCCAAACTCAAGGCTGAAAGTAGTTCTCTATCAGGTCTTCTAGCCCAGGATTTTAAGAAGGTGAAAAGCCACTTTGACAGCAAAACTGTGCAAGTGAACTAATTGTTAGCACCAACAGACTACATGGTCTGAGCTTCCCTCTTGGTAGGCGAGCGTTAGACAACCTGTCCAGATGTTGCAATTGGTCCACGTGGCCAAGTGCATTCGTTCTACTTCATTCAGCTTAAATGGCCCCCATCAGAGCTAGACGGGAGGGCTGCAGCAAGAGGCACTAGATGAACAGCACGTCTGCTACAAAAGCACCTCCCTGTTTACATAAAACTAAATGCCTTTTACAGGAGCTCCTCAAAAAGCAGCTCAATTAACTTCACTGGTGCAATTACATAAGGTGTGACAGAAAGAATATTCCCTGAGGCTTGCTTTAGTCCCAGGGAGTTTTAGGTAATGCTTAGTTGCCTAGAGAAAAGGGAAGACGCTATTTCAACCTTTCAGACAGTGAGTTTTAAAGGAGCCATAGACTGATTTCTATGAGTCATACAGCATCTCAGGGAACCTCCACGCAATAGAGCATCTCACCTCTTTATGACTGGTTAACCTGTCTTCCGTCCCTCTCACCTACCTGTACTCCAGGCTTTCCATTTTATCACCTTTCTTAGGATCAGTAAAAACTTGGAGACATCAACAACTGAGTCATTTTTGTTAAAAATATACATCACAAAATTCCAGGTAGCTTGTATTTTACAAATGAAATCTGTTTTTTTTCCCTTGCATGATAACGTATTTTTAATGTGCTGGATTTTCTGAAGAAAGCCTGAAATCTGAACATCATCTGAAGGCGTCTTCAGATGCAATGGATGCCAAACACCACATATACCCTTGGGGCGGTGACCTCAGCCATCTGCAACAAGGCTCTCAGAACCAGTCCTTTGACTATAAATAAATAAAAAAAAAAAAAAGCAGCACCTCTCACTAATCAAGCATCTTTAATGCAAGCCAAATCAGAGAAAACTCTCTGAGAGGTGATCGTCTGTAAGGCAGATCATTACAACAGGAAAAATGTAAGCTAAGATGTTGAACACAGCCAGAACTGAAAATAAAAGAATTTTCTTTCTTTTTTTTTTTGAGACAGAGTCTCTGTCACTCAGGCTGTAGTGCAGTGGCGCAATCTCCGCCTCCTGGGTTCAAGCAATACTCCTGCCACATCTTCCCGAGTAGCTGGGACTACAGGCGTGCACCACCCATGCCCAACTAATTTTTTTTTTTTTTGTATTTTTAGTAGAGACAGGGTTTTGCCATGTTGGCCAGGATGGTCTTCATCTCCTGACCTCATGATCCACCCGCCTCGGCCTCCCAAAGTGCTGGGATTACAGGCATGAGCCACCTCACCCAGCCAATAAAAGAGCTTTCAAAAACAAATCAGTGTTGCTCTAGGTTGCATTTGCTTTTTTTTCCAAAGACAGCTGTTCCAAAGATGACAAGCTAGAACAGAGCCATGATCCTGCCAGGAGTTTCAGCAGAACTGAGTGGACACAGAGGATAAATGTGCACAGCTCTACTGGACAGCTCAGTTTTTACTGGGGCCACTCGTTAAAGCGACATGTTGGTCCAGGTTCCTGGTTTTGGACAGGTCTCTTTTCCTAATTATCAGTTTTTCTGTTACTAAGGTGCTGCAAGCTCTGGCTGTCTTCCCAGGATTGGTCTGTTGGGTTAACTAATCACTATGTAAATGTTTTCAAAATAAGTTGAGAGTGCTATATAAACAACAAAGCCTCAGAAAAGAAACACCAAGTTGTTATGCAAAGCCACAGGAGTTAAGAATGTAGACGAGGCCAACACTTGGCTAACGAGATTCACTTGGAGTTCACTAGTTAATTGTCAACTAAGATCTGCTGGGAATCCCCAAGATGCTCTGGGATTTTCAGGGCTGCAGTGGCTCTCAAGACTCAGTTCTGAGTTTAACAGTCCCTTGGGCTGCAATCTGACCGACTTCATAAAAGCAAGACTCTTCTTTTGCTTGATTTTGCATATATGTTTAAAAACTCAAAAGCGAAAGAATTTTAACACTTCCCTTTTTAAAAATTCTTTTTAGGGGCGGGGATTTGTCCATCTTAAACCAATGAAAGAGAGGAATAAAACACTGATGTACTGAGAAGTCCTGATCTCATACTCGGTGTCAAATTTGATACACTATCAGGCCCCACTCTTCGGAAGGTCACTAGATTTTCACTAAATCAAACCTCTCATTTTGTGGCAGCTTTCTTTTCTTTATCTCTTTATTTCATCTCCTTCCTTCTCAAAATGCTGTGCTTGACTAAAGAGGAGAAAAGTACCACCCCTGGGGAACAAATGCTCACACTGAAACATCCAGGAGATGTGACACATGGTGACGAGTTGTCAGTGCTCATTTGGCACAGAAGGCATTTTTACTGGTTGATATTATTTTCCAAATGTTCATCAGTCATTTCATGTACAAGAATTTCTTTTTCTCCCCACTTGGCAGAAATTTCTTCAACGGTTAAGATCCATGCTCCTATTTCTTTTATATCTTCCCCCAAATGCAGAGTATAGTCTGTTCTTCACACGAGGGATTTGGTAAATATCATGCATTGACTTCCTGTATAGATCATTCCTTGAGAGGAAACATACCCTAAATGAAGTCTCCAGAAATGGGCATATGAAAATTTTGGAATGCCTATTTCTTCTACATACACACCGCCACTTCCCCCATTCCACCCTTTTTCAAAGGCATTTTCGGCCTTAGACATAAGCAGGAAGGAGAAAGCCAACACCAACTGCCGATCTGTACTGTGTAGAGCTGTCTGAAGTTTAATTCAATAGGCTAGTAATTAGGTAAACGGTTCACAAACTTCGGCTGCATTGTCTTGCTTTGGGACGAAACTTTGGAGGAGAATCCATACTAAAACCTTTCTCAAGTCCCCTCGATTACAGCATAAGAATAACAATATCTATCCGGAAGGTTGTTCTGAGGGTTAAATGTGGCAAGCAAGCAAGAGTGGCTAATCCCAGAGAAAGCTGGTACAAGAGAGAATTTAAAATAACCAAGAGAACATTTGCAGCTACAAAGGAGTGGTAAACCGGAGAGGAGGTAACAAGTGAATCATCTACAGATCTACCTCCAAAGAAGCAAAGCAAGAGACGTGAAACGCTATAGAACAGACAGTGAGAATGGGCAGGGAGTGTACTATGTATATAAGCATCATTATATTACTACATGAGAAAGGCAGCAGGTCATGTTCAGAGCCTCCTCTATTTTTAAAAGCAGGCTACTGATAAATCTAATGTCAAATAAAAGCAGAAAGCTGAAATGTAATTGGGAATTACTTCTGAACATTTACTGAGTCTGGCCTAAACTAAGTACCTTATGTATATTATCTCATTTAATCCTCCCAATTCTTAGAAGCAGATGTTCTCATATTCCCATGCAATATGTAGAAATTGGGGCTTGGCAAAATTAAGCCACTGTCCAAAAATACAGCACTAATATCCTTGGACAAAATGGGGGTGGAGCCAAGATTTGAACTCTAGTGCAACACTCGATATATTATCCCTCAATCCTATACATGCACAGAGAACACATGAATGAGACCTGTGAAATGATGTCACTAGCAAACCATTTATCTCTACCTTTATGTGTTAGCCAGTTGAACAGTACTAAGCAGCAGAAATCACCACAGAACACTCCATGCCCACAAACTTTTCCACATTGGAATTGAGAGGCAGAGTTCCTTCTCCCTACCTTCCTTGATCCATTTATTGAATAATTATAGCCTACATGGCACTAGGGATATACAAATAGAATACACATTCCCTTTTTTTTCTAAAGCAGCTTTGAGATTTAGGGCAAGAAAGAAATAAATTCTTATATAAAAATGATCATGAAGCATCCCATATCTTCAATAATGGGCATTGTCCAGGAATTGATAATTCTTAAATTATTTCCCCAGAATAAATACTTATGTATAATCTGTGCAATCCAATGCTTTTCAGAGTCAAACCCTAACTGGTACCCACCAGAGGCAGGAATCTTACTCAGAGATTAACAAAGTGGTGTTCTGAGTGAGAAATTATCCTTCAAATTGCAGAGAAGAGCTCCAGTGTTATGAAGCCTGCCATAACAAACCTGGGTCTCTCCTCACCAGCTACCTTTCCAATCAAACTGTTAGAAGGGTTTATGATTTTTTGGAATAAAAGAACCAGTATAGGTTATATTTTGGAGTTCTAACTGGGGATGGTGAAATAAGAAGCAGATGCACAGAACCATTAATCAAAACATTTACCACTCAATAATCACCCATAATGAGAATTATTCTGAGCATTTTCCATCCAAATAACTCAAAACAAGCCTGCCAAAACACTGCCGACTCTGACAGCGGTGTTCATTACCCCAGCTGATGAAATCACAGTGCCAAATAGGACCGCAAGCGAAATAGGTGGAGGTGTGGCTACAATCATGAGTAGATATGTGACTTTATGAACTTCTCAGTTTTCAACCGAGGTACAGAAAGGAGCTTGTAAGAATGACACCCCAGCCAAAGGGGATGTCTGTTCTGGGCCAGAGGGAGTGAAAAGGGGACAAAGTCTGGCAAGTGAAAACCAAATAATAAATATGCACCATGCCAGAGCCCCTAGCCCAGGCCTTTTATTTCCCCTCCAGATGGTCCGGCAGCTGAAGAGCTCTGTGGAATGCCTGCATGCCCCTCTCTGCTCAGCTGCTTTCCTTGAGAGGGCATCATAATAGATGCTTTTGGACCTGTGTGCAGACATAGCTGTTGGGGGTCCACAGACCAGGCAGTGACCACCAGCGACTCATTTACTTACTGTACAGCTGACATGATGAACACCAACAAACCCCACCTGGGCAAAGCTCTTCATTTATGCCTTTAGCTTTCACCCTTTGGCAAGTGGGAGCTTAATAATGCCAATGATCAAATTAAACAGTTTCTTTTTCTTCTCTCTTTTCTGCAAATACTTTAATCTGCTGTAAAGATTTCCAGGTTCACCATATTGGACTAATTTCGGTATAAAAGGAAAGAGTGATAAGAATAAATTCAAGTTTAGTAAAAGCTGAATAGAAAAAGCAGTTGCAGCCATTTATGAGTTTATATAGGAGAACACTTCTGCCAAAAACTAGTGCTGCTTAGCAGCAAACTGATCACTGTCAGAATGCTTCCTCTCTGCTCAGTGTCTCACTTATAACTGGATACCAAAAGCACACCAACATCACTGTGAATGAAATCATGGTATAAAACACAAAAGCTTAAATCCACAGAAAAAAAGTCACATTAAATAAATTTGAAAAAATAATAACCTTTGCCAACTACACTGTAGTATTTAACTAAGGGAATCCTATTAGCGTTTATTCGAAATGTTTTATTATTTACTATCCTGAAGGATGAAATAAACACATGCTTTTGTTCAATCTAATAGCTGGTAGAGTACCTAATTAAGTAGTTAACTCAGGTTAGCTGCAGGAAGAAAACCATGAGCCTGGCACAATGTGCATTCAATAACCTGTAATCAACTACTAAGTAGCTTA